GGGCGATGCTCTGGGACTGCTCCCCACAAAGCCAGTCAGGACTCTGGGGAGCCTCCTCGCCCTCGGAGCAGACTGTCTCCAGGGCAAGAAGCTCACACGGCTTCACCTCCTGGGTCTGACCTTGGAGCATTCAGCATATGCCCCTCCGTGCGCTTCCCACAGCGAGTCCGCCCCGGCGGGGTCCTGGGGAAGCCAGAGGGTCCTGCACCCCCACTTCGCAGTCAGACGTGACTCTCAGCCAGCCAGTAACACAGAGGTTTATTCAATGACAGGAACATGGTCCAAAACAGAGCTTGTAGGTCCAGCGAACAGGACCCCTCCGCCGGGTCCATTCTGGAGCCCAGCGAGCCAGACAACCCCCGTCTGCCCTCCCTTCCAGTCCCCAGCTAGCTCCAAACTCCAACCCCCGTCCAGCCCCTCCTCCTCTGGGCTTTGTCTCTTTCCCGGGCCAGAAGGTCACCTGATCCCTTTGTCTCCAACACCTTCAGTTGGCACCTTTGCAGAGGAGGGGCCCAGGCCATCAGTTGCCAGGAGACAGAGTGTCGGGCATTTATGTACCCTGGCCCTGTTCTCTACTGCATAGGGGAAACTGAGGAAAACATTAAGAACAGTCCCACTTCGTCACAGCCCCCTCCCAGCCCCGTGGGGGGCGGTTCTCACTCTCACTGCCCCAGTGATGGGCGGGGGCCCGGAGACACTCTCCAGCTGCTCCCTCAGTACCCCAGGTGGATTCACTCCTCCGCAGGCCGGGTGCCCTGCACAGCTCCGGCTGGCCTCCTTGCAGAGCCGGGGGAGGGCGCCCCCAGTAGGATGGTGATGGGGCTGCACTGTTGGCTAAGGTCTGAGGGAGTCTCCTGGTCTGATCAGAGCCTCAGCGAAAAACCATCCCAAACATGGGCACCGCAGACCCCAGGAACAGCCCTCCCCCCACAGCCCCGGGACAGCCCCTCCTTCAGCTCCCAACCCCCAGGGAAACGTGGCCCCAGGGCAGCCCCCAACCCAGCCGGGGCGGGGATGATGACAGCTTCGTGTGACTATGGGGCCAGTCCATAGCCCTGTGTCTGAGCCCTCTGTATCCCCCCTCCCCCAGGCACCTGCAGCCCCGGGCTCCCACCCTGAACAGGGATCAGCGCAAGGAAGCGTTTGGAGACATAGACACAAACCCCAGAACCCAGGCTGAGAACTGGGAGGTGGCCAGGCCAGGGCTCAGTCTAACCCAGTGACCTGGGGGGTGGAGCTCGGTCTGACACCCCTGAACCGCTGGGGCCAATATCAGCTGCATGAGAAACCCCCAACTCGCCGGACCTGAGGCAGCCCCCAAGGGCCACGGGGATGGGGAGGGCAGGGAGATCAAAGAAACTCACACACAACCGCACAGCGCAGCCCTCAGCCCAGAAATCTCTGCTTGGTGATCGCAACCAAACCAGGCCCACACCACCATCCTCCCCCCCAGCTCTGCCAGTGCCCCTCACTCCCGACCTGCAGCCCCCTGCAACCCCAGCCCTGGGCTCCCCCCACCAGCTCTGCCGGTGCCCCTCACTCCCGACCCGCAGCCCCTGTTAGCCCAGCCCTGGGCTCCCCCCCCCCCAGCTCTGCCGGTGCCCCTCACTCCCGACCCGCAGCCCCTGTTAGCCCAGCCCTGGGCTCCCCCCCCCCCAGCTCTGCCGGTG